AATTCTATAGCCTTGCCTTTCTTCACTTTTAACCTTTATGTCTTTGGGAGGAAATTGCCTGATTCTTTAGTTCATCTTCCAAATCACTAATTTTTTTTCATATTTCTTTTTTAGCCTATCTTTTTTACTAGCTGCTAAGACTTTAAATTTAAAATAATTATATATTTCTTCTTCAAATTCCTAACTAGCTATTTTTCAAGACCATCTACCCTAGCTTTATAGTTTCTCATAACAATTTAAAATGTAAATGTATGTTTTCCTATTGAATTTATTTTCTCCCCTACTGTTGTGTGTATATATGCACGCATGTGCGTGCATGTGTGTGTGCGCGTGCGCATGCACGCGCGCATGTGTGCATGTGTGAGCAAGGTATTCTGATCTATCAGACATGGCTTCTGGGGTGGGGCATGGCTGGAAATTTCTCTCGTGCAAGTCTCCTCAGCCAGGAGAGATTTGTGGAGTTGGTATTGAGTCAGTTTTGAAGACTTGGCGGGGGGGGGGGGGGGCGGGGGGAGGGGATGGTGCATAATTTACACGTCCATTCACATGTGGAGCGCATCTCCATCAGAGTCATCCCTTCCATCCTCCCTAGCAGCCACATCCTTTCCCACCTACAGTGCTTCCGTTCCCTTTTTTCCCAGAAGGACTTGTCGAAGTTACATCGTTAAACAATAACATCTTTAGAGAACACTTGGGAATATCTCTAGAGACTTTACAACTAGACAGAAGTCTCATCCTCTAGCTGCGACGCTGTGCAGTGTGGCCACTCAGTGTGGTCCCTCTGTCAGTAGGGCAGAGGAAGGCTGGCGTGTGTGTGCGCGCGTGTGCGTGCACACACATGCACATATGCATATGCGTGCACACGTGCATATGTGCATATGTCAATTCTGCCCACACAGATCAGAGACCACGCATAAGGCTCCAACTCAGCTGGCAAATGAAGAGCTGGCATTGGTGGATGCCACACGTTGTTCAATGTGTGTGCCTTCACCGCATAGCACGAGGACACCGGGCAGAGCCGTCAAAGAAGGAAGCGGGAGGGGCCGAGGTTAAAACGGCAGCCCAAAGCCAGGTGGGCAGTCAGATGCAGATGTCAAGTGCTCATAGCTTTCAAAGCTCAAGGGAGACAAAAAACGATGGAGGGCTAGGGAAAACAGCTTCCTGGAGGAGACGTTCCCCTCCTCCCGCCACACTGGGGCTCACTGTAAAGTGCTCCTCTTCTGCCTTAGAATATTTTTAAGCAAATATACAATCTTTAGTTGAAAATCAACAGGAAGCAAAAGGTAGCTTGTATTGATACAAAAACAAGAGTTCAGAAAAACAGTACGTTTCCGTTGAGGACAACGCGTCGCTAAGCCTGTACCGATACCAACTGCATTATTGTCCCTGTGGAGGTTAACGTGGTAGAATACGTTTTATGTTCTTTCTAGGAAAGCTGCTGTTCATCTGCTCCTTATGCACACTCCACAGTACCACGGGCATGCCTGCGCTGCCTGCGCCTCAGCGAGGAGTCCTTCTGCAGTCTCAGCAGCAGCATCCTCTTCCACGAACCATGGGTCTGGCAGGACGTGGCTCGGGACCAGCCAGGTGGCCTCCTGCGGCTCTGCCCGAGTGCCTGGGCGGGGCGTCTGTGTCTGGCCCTGTGGAGTGCAGGAGCCAGTGCCTCCAACTTCTCATTTTATTTGAACAGAAGTGCAGTCAGCAATCCCTGCTGCAGGCCCTACTGCGATTTCCTTGACAGATTACGATAAGAATCATAATGAGAGAATACACTTATGACACGCCACATTTTCAACAGATCAGCAGCCATGAAATGTGAGACCCAGGTGACATCTCTGCAGATCCTGGTGTGAGCCCTGGGGACTTCTCGACCTGATTCAGAGTTAAGCTGTCCAGCTGCAGTAGCCCGTCCACTGGGATCGCTTAGTTCTGAGCCCGAAGCAGGATTTCAGACACAGACGAAACCCCCAGAGGCAGGAATGGAGGAAGCCACGTGTGTGGGAAGTGCTTGTTCTATTCTCGAGCCTGAGTATCACTCCAAAACACAGCCACATTTATTTTTCTAGAGAAGTCTCTCTGGAACTGTCTGACTCAGAACGTAGGAAATGAGGTAACGGGTTGGGATGAGAATCCTGTCAAATCAGTTTGCTGGGTGACAGTGACAGGTTATACTGCCAGTACCTCTGTGGGACATTTTCTGTTTGTACAGAGTTGACCATGGCTTCAGTTCTGTCCTCACGAAACTTGTCACATGCCTCAAGATGCTCTTCTACACTCACACAATTGTTTTCTTTTTAAAGATAGGAATCATGAGGCAAAGGGTGGGGGGGGGGGGTGAGAACGATGAAAGAGGGGACGTTGATCAAGACACACTGTATTCATAAATGCTGGGTTGAGTGGCAACTCCTTTGGACAACTACTCAAACACAGTAAAAATACTTTTCTAAAAAAGATCGGAATTGTGACTTAGGGCCTGGCACAAGGTAAATCATCAATCACTTTCTTTTAAATGATGAAAACAATTGTTTCTACAATGTAACCCTTGTTTTTTATTTTTCCTTACTTTTCTGTAATGAAGTCTTGGTATTATTAGTGAAGTATATTATTTATGGTTATAGCCCAAGTTTATAAAAAAGTGCCAAAGAGAATTTTAAATCTGGAAAGCTTTCTTTCCTTTGTAAGTTCAGATCACTAAAATCCATTCATAAAAACTCGGAGCCTGGCGCAGGCTCTGCTGGGGTGGGGGTCCTGTGACTGAGGGGGCCAAGGGAGAGGTGAGCAGGGGAACACGGTCAAAGCACTTTGTGTGTGTGCATGTGTGAGAGGAGAATTCTGACACCTGTAGAACCCATGTTGAGAAGCAGGGAGGAAGCAGGGGAGTAAGTATGGTGGGATCCATTAAATGTATTACAATCATGTCAGAAGGAGATCTCCTCTTATAGAACCAATATGTGTTAAGTATTAAAACAAACTAATAGCATAGCATCAAAATTAGTCACATTATGGTTTTAAAAATTGAAATGTTGCAACTAAGATGTCAGTTTTAGTCCACAAATCTTTTTGTTGTTGTTGTTGTTGGTTGTGGGTCTTGAACTTTGGGCCTGGGCACTGTCCCTGAGCTCCAGGCAAAAGCCCTACCACCTGAGCCACAGCACCACCTCTGTTTTTCATGTGGGTAATTGGAGATAAGAGTCTTATAGACTTTCCTTGCTGGGGCTGGCTTTGAACTGAAATCCTCAAATCTCAGCCTCCTGAGTAAATAGGATTACAGGCATGAGCCACTAGCACCTGGTTCCACAAATCTTATAGACGAGAAATTCCAGTTGTCTTTTTCTTTTTGCCAGTCCTGGGGCTTAAACTTAGGCACTGTCTCCTGAGCCTCTTTTGCTCAAGACTAGCACTCTACCACTTGAGCCACAGCGCCACTTCTGGCTTTTTCTGTGTATGTGGTACTGAGGAATTGAACCCAGGGCAATGCATGAGCATGCTAGGCAAGCACTCAACCACTTAGACACATTCTCAGCCCCTTCCTTCCTTCCTTCCTTCCTTCCTTCCTTCCTTCCTTCCTTCCTTCCTTCCTTCCTTCCTTCCTTCCTTCCTTCCTTCCCTCCCTCCCTCCCTCCTTTTTTTTGTGTGTACTAGTCCTAGAGATTGAACTCAGGGACTGGGCACTATCCCTGAGGTTTTTTTTTTTGGTTTTTTGTTTTTGTTTTTTGGTTTTTTTTTTTTTGCTCAAAGCTAGCTCTCTATCACTTGAGCCACAGCTCCACTTCCAGCTTTTTGATGGTTAACTAGAGTTAAGAGTCTGATGCACTTTCCTGCCTAGGATGGCTTTGACCTACAATCTTCGAATCTCAGCCTCCTAAGTAGCTAGGATTATAGTGTAAACCACTGATGCTCTGCCTTATTTAGTATAATAAACTAGATTTATTATAATAAGTTTTACTGTTTGTGATTCTCTACATACACGTACATGTCTTCTACAAATATAGTCTTACATCTTCCTTTCCCAACTGGGTACCATCCTACCCCCGACCCCCCGACCCTCAACTTACAATGTTGCCTGGGACCTTCGGTGCAATGCTAACTCAAAATGGTAAGGATGAACAGCCTTGTCCTGTTCTTGGCTGAGGGGCAACAATTTCTTATTTTACCATTAAATAGGTTCCTAGCTTTGTGTATGTGTGCGTGTACATCTGTGTATTAATAGACTCTGTTTATCAGGTAGAAGACATTTCTTTCTATTTTCAGCTGCTGAACATTTGATCATGAAAAAGGTTTTAGGTTTTTGTGATATGCTTATTCTGCGTCTGTTGAAATGATCGATCAGATTTTGTCCTTTTTCTCATAAGGGTAAATTACATGGATTGATTTTTATATGTTAAGCCAATTTCTTTTTCCTGGGATAAATCTCATTTATTCACAGCATACAGTCTTTTATATGTGTTGCTAAATTCAGTTTAATATTTTTTTGAGAATTTATGCATCTATTTTCATAGAGACATTAGTCTATAGCATTTTTTCTTCATAGTATCACCAAACGAAAGCATTTGTTGTACTTATTTTGTGTGTGTGTTTCTGTGCTATTTTTTTTCACATGGTAATGGCTACTTTTCTTTCTGCCTCAGAGACTTCTGCCTGAACAGTCTGTTTCTAGAGGGCTGAATTGTGCTGTGTCCACCATACACAGATACCCGTGTGCTCAGGATAGTGTCTAAAACCAGTGCAGATGGTTAACACAGGCTCTCCTGTGCTACCTCCCACATGGTTTGTAAGTTCATCTGACATGAATACACTACTGTTACTTTTAACATGCCAAGTCTTTGCCCCTAGTCAACGGCCATGTAAACCAATCCACAGCATATAAAAGAGGGGTTTTCATTGAAAATATATCCCATTATTCAATCCTATGAGACCCTGCCAAGAATAAAGCATGTGACTGGCAGTCATGTAGCAAACATTCCAAGGTAAAGCTTGTTTGTTTGGCCGAGCTCAGGTACCTGGTGTCAGCAGGATGACCGAGGTGACGATCAGGGAACAGATGACCAGAATGACCAGCAGGGCGATCGCGATTCCTTTCCAGTTTCTCTGTGGAGGGTTGCTCCCCACCAGCTCCTGAAATACACGTGGAAAGAAGCTCATAAGCAAACAGGAAAGCAAATGAGCATCTGCCATTCAAAGCAAGCGCCGAGACCCAGAGCCCTTGAAGGGGTGACTGCTGGTTCTGGAATCTGCCCAGCACCCTCTGTGCTCTTCCTGTGGCAGTGCTCAAAGACCATCCCCTTTGTGATGGGGTAAGACTTGGTGTCAACAAAGAAAAGAACCCGGCAGCATACTGCGTTCACAGGCGCACGCACGCACACACACACGCACGCACGCACGCACGCACACACACATGCACACACGCACACACCAGACACCAGTACACAGCCATCCTGGGATTTTCTCTTCATCAGCTGATGGACTCAAAGCCAAGCATAAAACACTGCAGCCCAAGTCTTTTCTCATCTTTTCATTTCTTGGTGTCCACACTATCATCTTCTATTTCTCACTACCAAAAAATATGTGCAACTTAAATCCACTTCTAATTTTTATGCTTTAAAAGTATCTTTAAGTAGCTGTACAAAGGAGTTGACATCTAACGGGGCAGCTTATGAATATATCTCGATCAATGTCACCCCTTTCAACTCTCTTGCCCATCCCTCCCAACCCACCCTTCCTAAACTTTTAATTTTATAGGGTATGCATTGAATTTTGGACTGCATTCCCCCCTCTTCTCCTCTTTATTGTCTGTTCCTCTCCCCTTCATATCAGATGGTGGCACCAATGTGGGCAAAAGGGCCCCTAATATATTGTTGGTGAGAAAGAAGACTTGTTCAACCTTTCTGGAAAGCAGTGTGTAGGTCCCTCCAAAACCAAAGACAGAACTACACACAAAGGGTAAACCAATGCAACAGTAATACACACTGGACACTATGTTGGAAATGAACTTGGGGGAGGGGATCGGGGGGAACAGTAGAAAATGAGGGAGAAGGTAACACGGTTTAAACATAAATGTACTCATTACCTTACTTATGTAACTGTAACCCCTCTGTATATCACCTTCACGATAAAATCAAAACAAAACAACTATGCTATGACCCAGTAATTCCATTCCTGGGCCTTTACCCAAAAGATCACAAACCAGAATACAGTCACAGCAGCGCAGCCAGGTGCATCACAGCACAGCACTATGGACCTTAGCCAAGGAAAGAATCAGCCCAGATCCCCTCAGTGGACAAATGGATCAAGAAAATACGATCTACATGTAGATCTAGATCTACATATATAATGGAATTTTGCCTCTTCATTAGAAAGAATGATATGGCATCATTTGCAAAGAAATGGAAAGACCTGGAAAAAATTATATTAAGTGAACTAAGTCAGGCCCAGAGACACAAAGGTTGGATGTTTTCTCTCACATGTGGAAGCTAGAATTAGTTTATAAATATTAAACAGTTGCAGTGGTGTGTGAGTGCTTACAAATGTATTAACTGAAATATGGTAGATTCAGGGTAGGAGACACACAATGTCATTCTTCAGACAGACTGAACAAACAAAACATCAGGAAATAGGCACTAGATTTTTAGCAAAACAAATGCCAGGAAATAGGCACTAGGTTTTTAGCACGGGACTACTTAGACAAGTACCATGAGATCCACACCTCCAGTTCTTTCTCTAGTTTTTTTTTTTTTTTTTTTGGTTGTGGGGCTTAGGTGCTGTCCCTGAGCTTTTTTGCTCAATGCTAGCTCTTTACTATTTTGAGCCACAGTCCCACTTGCAGCTTTTTAGTGGTTTATTGGAGATAAGAGTCTCCTTTCCTGCTCTGCTGGCTTTTTTTTTTTGGGGGGGGGAGTCCAGTCCTGGGGCCTGAACTCTGGGTCTGGGCACTGTCCCTCAACTCTTCAGCTCAAGGCTAGCGCTCTACCACTTGAGCCACAGTGCTACTTCCGGCTTTTTTCTTTTTTCTTATGTGGTGCTGAGGAATCGAACCCAGGGCCTCATGCATGCAAGGCAAGTGCTCTACCACTGAGCTACCTTCCCAGCTCCTCCCTGCTGGCTTTTTACTGTTATCCTCAGGTATCAGCCTCCTGAGTAGCTGCGATTTTAGGCATGAGCCACCAGTTTACACCAGTTCTTGATGCAAAGTTTCAAGATTCCCCAGGTCTATTTCCATTGGCCGGCTCAGGTACCCTGTACCATCAAGGGAAGCCCCAGGCCCTGCTGTTGAACCACTGTGTGTGGCAGGGGTGGGAGGGGGAATTTGGAGACAGTGCTAAAGGATTCTAGAGGTGAACAAATCTAGGAACTTAATCAGGTGTATGAGCTGCTGAGACCAAATTTTAAATTCCCCTTAAATTAGTGTTCATATAATTTATAGTCCCAACTGGACTCTTCTGAGAGACAATGGGAGCAACACCAGTAATTAATCCCAAGTAATGAGTATGATAACTCTATATGCATATAAGTACATACGGTTGCAATGTGAATGGATAATTCTGCCTAGGTGGATCTGAGACTGTTTTCCCTCATTCGCTCGTTACCACACTTATGTTACCCCAGCCACAAAGCAGGAGAATAGCCGTGGCTCTCAAGTACATAATGAATGCCTACATGTGTTTTCATCCATGATGTAAAGTTCATTTGGAAGGTATCAAATTGTTACAAATCAAAGTAGAGACAATGTTCACTAATCACCAGCCCTCCTTTGTCCCAGCCTGATGCATGTTGCAGGGTAGACAACACAGACATGATGTATGGGGTGTGTCTGGAGAGAGGGACAGGAAGAGGAGGATGTCTGCAGAGTGTGTGGATTCCAAGGCCGTAGTGAGCCCCCACCGCCCCGCCCCACACAGGCATGTCTTATGGAAGAGGAAGAAGACATATTCAGTGCAGCCTGGGAAAGCAGACTTCTAGACAGAAGGGAATTTCAGAGAATGTCAGATCTGTGAAACACTGGACCATTGTGGGAGCTCAGAGTGGACTGCTTCACCAGGTAGAAGAGCCCGGGATCTGATGGGACCTGAAGCCCGTCCGCCCGTCCTTCAGGGCGGGAGGCAGACGCAGATGGCTGTGATTGCTGACACAGCCCACAACCTGCACAGAGAGTGGAGAAGAAAGGTGCACAGTGTGGATGCTGCTACTGAGGGTGAAGCAATGGACACCCCCTGAAGGGGGCAGGGACTCCGCTTCCTCCACAGCCAGCTTCCCAGGCATTGTCCGAAAGAATGAACAGGGCTGGATAGAAGCAAGCATTGCTATCTTCCTACCAGGGTGCTGCAAGCCGGGTCCTAGTCCCAACCCCATTTCCTGAGTATAGACAGGTTCCATGCCCTCTGAGATCATCCTGGGTAACTTTACACAGGAATAATGATATTCTTTACTAAGTTGCATTTTCATTTGCCAAGTTTAATCTTCAAAGCAAAGGTAATTTTCTTTCATCACATTATTATTTGTAATAATAATGATAGTAAGAAGTGAATTGAAGAGGAAAAAATTATAATCACACTCATCTAGGAAATTAAAAATCTTCACCCTTTCCTTTATAGTCCTAGTCCATATGAACACTCATTTTTGACAGCACAGATACGTTATTTTAAAAGTTAGGCTACAGGTAAATGTTTGTACATCTTCTATCCATCCATATGCGCAGCCTCTCATCCATCCATTCATATACTCATCTATCCATCCATCCATCCACCTACCCACCTACCCTCCACCAATCTGCCAATCCACCCACCACCCATCCATGCCATATACAGTAGTGAATAAAACGGATAATGGCATTTATTAACTTAGATGGAGGGCTTTCATCTTTTCTGTATTATTTCTTGCAGGTACAAATAATGAGATAAGCCCATAAGCAGAGAAAGATAAAAGCAAGCTGAGGTCAGAGTTGTGAGCTGTTTGACCATAAGGAGGGCAAAGAAAGCCCCTAGTGAAATGACCTTTGAACAGAACGGAGCAGAAAGAATCACACAGGGCAGACAATGGGGTGGGGGGAGTAAGGAGGATACGGAGAGAGAAGGAGCAGGAGCTGGAGAACAGAGACGAGAGCCAGAAGAGAAAAGGAAGGGAAAGGAGAAGGAGAAAGAGGAGGAGGAAGAGGAAGAAGAACAGGAAGAAAGGGGAGGAGGAAGAGGCAGAGCAGGAGAGGAAGGGGAAGAAGGACAGAGGAGAAAAGGGAGGAAGAAGAGGCGGGGAGAAGAAGGGGAAGGAGGAGGAAGAGACAGAAGAGGAGAGGAAGAAGAGGAGGAGGAAGAGGAGAAGAGGGGAGAGGAGAGAAGAAGAGGAGAAAGTAGAAGAGGAGGAAGAGAAGGAGGAAAACAAAGATAGGAAAGAGTAGGAAGAGGATGGGGAAGAGAAGTAGAAGAGGAGTGGAAGAGGAGGAGGTGGAGGGAGAGGAGGAAGGGGAGGACAAGGGGGAAGATGGGGAGGAGGGGAGGACAAGGAGGATGGGGGAGGAGGAGAGCAATGAGGAGGAGGGGGGAGGGGGAGAACAAGAACAAGGATGAGGATGGGGGGGGGCCATCTGTGAAGTGCTCCAGCGAGGAGCCCGCAGCCAGGGTGGTGAGAGCAAGGAGACCAAGCTGAGTGGCCGCAGCAGGAGAGCAGGACAGGGGCCCGGGGCCTGGCCGTGGCCTCAGGTCCATGTATGTGTCCTGCTTGCTCCATGTGGCCTGCCGTGATGACAGAGACAACAGGACGGACGTCCGACCCTGGCAGGGGTGAGCGGGGAGACTGTCTCTCACGGCTGAGTAGAGGACCACGGCGTAGGCAGCGGTGCCCACGCATGAGGGCCGAGTGTCATGAGCACAGCAGGAGGACAGTTTGGGCACAGGCAGGGCCTTACCAACCACCACGGGCCAGTGGGTGGCCCCACACTGTATTTCCTGAAGCTGAAGGCAGGGGCTCGACCAGATGGCCCATTCAGCGGGGAAGGAGGGCATGCATTTGCTCCATTTCTCACAGTAATCTGTCTCTCACACACCCATCAGTCGGCTTTTAGAAGCATGTGAGGACCATGAGACACTCTGGTTCCCTAATCAGAAAAGGGATCTAAGTTTAGGCCACTG